TTGTCCTCTAACTGTGGCCATCTTGCTTTGTTCCCTCAGAAACTCTGTTTGGTCTTCTTTACTTGGAGCAAGTCACCTTCTTGTTTCCTCCACTTCCGTACCATTGATTCATTAATGTTGAATTTTTTCGCAGCTGCTCTATTCCCATGTTTTACTGCGTGGCTGATGGCCTTGAGTTTGAAATCCGCTTCATAAGCATGTCTCTTAACAGGTACCATTTTGGGGTGCTTATATGGTAATTTTGTTGAAGCACAATGCGTATCACGAAAATTGGCGAAGCAAATGAAAAGGTTTCGTCTTGATCACCGGATTGCCACTGTCCCGTGACTGATTTATGGTCACTACAAAACCTCGCGCTTGAATAAGATCAAATTCAAAACTGCAGTCGGCAATTGCCTAGACAGGCGCCTTAACAAAAAGGCCCAGGACAGAACTCCGCCATTCAACGTACCCCGACAAAACGGCACAGTACAAAGATTTGGATATCCGTCTAGTGATCGTTTGCGATCGAAAAGAGCCGGCCTACGTGACAGGCTGAGTTCTACCATAGACTCGCTCCACTGAAATGTAAATAAGGCCCAATTACAAAGGAGTCTTTCTACGAAATCAAACCATTTTATAAATTTAGTAAAATAACCATGGAGAGAAGACATCGCAGAAGCAGAAGGGGCATCTTTTGTATGAAGGATTCAGGCCAAAATTAATATCTAAGGCGCGCCGAACTACAGGGTGCAATGGCGATTTTTTTACAAATATATGGATTTTAAGTGCGCCTTATAGTTCGAAAAATACGGTATATATTTGCACACTCGGATGCCTGCCTTTTTACCTGTTTTACTCTCATCCTTAAAGCGAAGAAAATTCTTTAGAATCTGTTTTTGATAGTGTATAATATATTGTAATAGTATATGTTATACCATTATATATATTTTATAATGCGCGGAGTTAACCCCTTACTGAAAATTATGGCTGCCCAAGTGTTTGTTAGTTTATGTTACTGTAGCTAATGCTCGATCCGTACAGCCTTTACATGAGCAAGTAAACCATGTAATTACTGTTGAAGAGGATTGCACATTGGACGGCATGTTCTGATAACCCGCCACATGGTGCTTCCATCCAGGCGGACTGAGTCAGTGATTGGTTAGTAATCAGGTGTGTTTCGCAACGATTGTGTTTATATCAAAGTCCTGTAGCCTGATGCGGTGCAGCAGCTTATGAATGCTCACGTGGAAGGCCTCAGCATTACTGAGTCCGCTTTCTGTGGCGCCTAGGTCCCAGGCACGCACCTTGTGCAGAAATGATATATCCGGGTAGATTCGTTGCTGCGCTGCGCGCAAACGAGTTCCCGAGATAAAAGAATTGCTCAGCCGAAGCTGAATCCTTAAAGAATGACTTGCCATTGAAACTGGCTTATGTATGAAGTAAATTGGCACTGTTAATGTTTAGAGCCATTAAATAACTTCTGATTATAGAAAGTTCAGCTGAATTAATAATGTTTATAATTTGAGTAAATACGTGCGTATTTGCTGTGGAACTCTGTTGTACGTGGTAATACTTTACTGACCGTACTTTTGTTTTATTATTTTAGCACTACAAATCTAGTGCTATCTTTGATGAAGCGTTGGATTTCTTGAACTTGTTTTTCACGTCTGTGTTTGCGTTGGAATTTATCTGCAAAGTGTTCGCTCTGACGTTTAGGGTAAGTTATCGTGTGCAGGTTGCGATGATATGCGCGAAAGCATCGATCACTTTGTTAGTCACGCGTAACCTTAGACCTTCATTACCATAGATTAGACGTAGTCCCCCTTAGTCATGACTGAATGATTACTGATCATCTAATGAATGTTGCTATCTGAAGGATTGGTCTTATGATTTTTTGAACTAATTATTAACGTGATTTATTTTTTTTCTACTTTTATTTATATTAACCGTTTTGCTTTTTGCTTTCAGCACCATTTCATGAGCCCATCGTTTGACGAAATACTTGACACTATGAATTTGATATTTACTGGAATATTTGCAATGGAGTTTGCGTTGAAAGTGATCGCATTTAGGTGCAAGGTATTTATCCTGCTGCTACGGATTGTCATAGATGATCATGATCATGATGTGAACATCGTAGTGTCAAGTACAAGCACAATGGTGGCGTGACGTGGCGTAAAGTGTGGTGAGCGCTCAGCGCTGCTGCATGCGAAGAGTTTATTTTGTTTCATACTGCCAAGTGATGGCTCTTCTTTTCTCTGTTGTTCGTTGCTCTGTGCTTGCAGCGTGTGTTCTCCTTCATCGTTTCGCTTGTTGCCTGCCTGCTTTTCGTCGTCGTTCACAACTACTGATTAATGAGTGTGAACGTGAACCCGCCGCGTACACGATGTCCTCGTTGTAGAACTACTTCGGGGACGCGTGGAACGTGTTCGACTTCATCATCGTCTTAGGCAGCTTCATCGATATTATTTATGGCAAAGTCAGCGTAAGTTGCCAGTTTTACTGATGACCTCAATTCACAGGTTGTTACTTTTGTATTCGTTCTTTTAGCCTGGTTCCAATATAATCAGTATCAATTTCTTTCGCCTGTTTCGAGTGATGCGTTTGGTGAAGTTGCTGAGTCGCGGCGAAGGCATCCGCACGTTGTTGTGGACGTTCATGAAGTCATTTCAGGTATGTGTCGACTGGCTTCACTCAAATAGTGAAGCATAGGAACTTCGGTCGAAAGATGGTGACTGTGTGTGTTGGTGTGTGTGTTTTTGTATGAAACCGCGGTAAGCACGCCGCCACTAGCGTCGTGAAAAGGAGGATGCTCAAAACCAGTCCGTCAGGGAACTGTAACTAATGCTGCGTTATAAAGGGACAAACTATGTTTCTATGGTCGCAGCTTCTTTTGTTTACTCTCGCTTGGCCGTTTGTTTATTATTTTAAATATTATTTTCTTCAGGCGCTTCCTTACGTCGCCTTGCTCATCGTGTTACTTTTCTTCATCTACGCTGTGATCGGAATGCAGGTATGCCAGAAGCTCGTTTGGTGTTGTTCTCGGTTAGCAATCAGTTTAGGTGTTCGGCAAAATTGCCTTGAATCCGAATACCTCAATACACCGCAACAACAACTTCCAAACGTTTCCGGCGGCGGTTCTTGTCCTGTTCCGGTAAGCGGAACAGTTCTGTCTTGCTGTGTTTATGTGTTCTTGTTTGTTTGTGAAGGTCAGCCACTGGCGAAGCGTGGCAAAAAATCATGTTGTCTTGTTCGAATCGTCCAACAGCCGTCTGTGACCAAGAGTCTGACGACCGTGACCAGCCGTGCGGCAACGACTTTGCGTACCCGTACTTCATTTCGTTCTTCATGCTGTGCTCCTTTTTAGTGAGTGATCTGATTCAGAAGACGAAGTAACCACAGGTTTGAAATCTAAAACCGTTTTCGTTT